ATCCAAGCAAGACAAGATCCTTGACAGCTTCATCTTTTTCTCCATTTATCATGATGTTACCTATTGACACAGTTGTAAGAATCTGTGCCTTCTTTACTTTGAATTGGAATCCACACCGAAGGCTGCAATCCTTGATCTTCTTCAGCTGGTGCTTCAAACCTTCTCACTTGCAGCAAGCAAGGTGTATCATCTGCATATGACAGGTTGTTAGTAAGCCTTCCTCCAATCCTGATAGCACATTCTTCCAAACTGCCTTGCATATGATTTTTTAAAAATTAATTCATCTAAATATTGCTAACATTCACTTGTCAAAATTTAAGGATTGGCTACATATGTATGCCTTAACTTTTTGTTAAACAAAAACAATGCTTATTATAGACAATTTGGAAATAGAGTAATTGCCAAGAAGAATGAATAGCCAATTGTAATTTCACATGTAATGTCTGGCATATGTCAGGCACTCATGTGAGGGGGCTTCAAAAAGTAAATTGGAGAATCTCATTTTTCTGTTCCTGTTTCTATGAACTTTTGCTGCCCCTTCAAAAATGTTCAGTAAATGCTATTAATATCATTTGCATGTGTGTAAGTTTAGTATTTGTTGTTTTTTCCCCTCATGTATGTGGTATTTTTTTTTTTAAAGAAAATTGTTCAATAAAATGACTATAAATTGGTGAAAAGAAAACGGATTATTTTCCATGGACAGTTAGATCATAGAGAATCCCTAACTCTGGGACTGAACATCCTAGAGAGGCTGTAACCTATTAGCCCTTCCTGCAGTGAAAATAGTTACCGTGGTTACAGTGCAGGGAGCGTCTCCTTGTCTAGTCCTCCCAGTGTTCATGTTCCACCAGGCCGTTCACTGCCTGAAATTGGCCACTTTTCTGCAGTGCCTTTGAGCAGAAATAAGTCTTGGATTTAAGCCTTAGCTGTGTTTTATGTCCATATGATACATAAACCTTCCTCTAGTTCACAATAAGTAAAAAGAAAAAGGAAATAGCTTGAAATATGCAAATATACTTTAATCCTTTAAAAATAAACAAACATTTGCTGCTTGATGTTTCTTTTTGCACTATAGTTTTGTGATAGTAGGAAAAATTGGTTTGCCCATGGTCCTTAGTGATAGCGCAGCCTCACCGTTAGGTTTTTCTGCTCAATGAATCTCCACAAATATGTTTGCACTGGACCCTCACAAAGGAGAGGGCTTCAGAAAGTTCATGGACAAATGGAATTAAAATAATGGAATTTGTCCACAAATTTGTTGAAGTTCCTTGTAGTATGTGCCTTAATTAACTCCATATAGTTTTTCATTTAAAAAAAATATGTCTTCTATCGATTGCTACTACCAACGCCTGAGTTTAGGCCTTGACCTCAGTCCTGGTTGGTTGCCTTAGTGCCCCCTCCTCCCCGCCTTTTGCGGTCTGACCTGTACCAGACTCACCTGCTCATTCTCCCTAATTCCCTACATGAGCCATCTGCTCAGCCAAATGGCTTTCCTCTTTACCCCCAAACCTACCGTTTTGAGGGCCCTCTGTTCCTTTACATACTGCTCTCCTGCTGGGCGTACATAGCCCTTCTACACTCACTGGTTTACTGGCTTTGAGGCTCAGCTCCAAGACCTGTGTTTTCTGTTAGCCTGCCTTGCTTATGTGAATAAGATTTGTGGGCTTGAGAAATAGGATTCTGGGGAGTCACTCTATGGAGATGTTAATAGGTGGTGATAAATGAATAGTCTGTCTGTCTTTTGAAGAGCTATGGTTAACTTCTAAAACTTTAAGTTGATGGTTATCAAACAACTAAGCTCCTTCCCTTCTCATCTACACCCACACACAGAGAGAGGAAAGGAGGGATGGGGGGATGGAGGGGAAGAGACAGACAGACTGACAAAACCCTGACAATTTTCTTCAATGTTGCTATTAAAACTAAAAAACAAAAAAAACCCTCTTACAAGTTAATGTTGGTTCTCCTTTATTTCCCCCCTTTTGGATAACCTGCCTAACTTGCTTTCATCAATTCTGTGAATTTTGATCATATTTCCACTTCCTATCTCAAGCTCTGCCTTCAGTATTAACCCAAACCAGGGGCTTTTGAGGTGGTTTTGACTCATGGCAACCCCGTGTCTGCGTGGAACCATGCTCTACAGAAGGATTCATGATTGTTTTTGTTTTTTTCAGAAATAGATTACTGAGACTTTTTCTGGGTGCCTCTGGGTGGACTTGAACTTTACATCCGAGAGGAGTAGGTGTTTGCTCCATCCTGGGACTCTGGCCTTCAGCATTACTGATGTAATCAAAAGATGCCCTGCGGGGAGCATTAACCCTACTCCTTTGACATACTTCACCCACCTGGGCCACGGTGCTAAGTCACAGCTCTGACCGTGACTTAACAAAGTGCAGTTGACCTCTTGTAATTTTTAGACCTTCAAGAATCAATTCCATGGCACTGAGTGAGTGAAGTAATATTTATTTTCTTTAACCAGCCTATTCTGACCAATCTAGTAGCAAAGTTTTTAGTGTTATTTCCTCCTTCTGCATAGGAGGAAGGCTCATAGTTTTAAAAAAGACATGTTCCCTGCTTTCAAGGGCTTACTTTGTACTCACGTCTTGAATAATCAGCGCTGTGATATAGACATGCATGGTAGATAACCAGTGGAAACCGCCAGACCAGAATTTAGATACGGCTCCCTGCCCCCGCCCCCCCAGTTCCTTGGCATCATGGGTGTGCCTTCCATGAGCCTTGGGTTCTCTTGGGGGATTGGGAGGAGGATCCACTGAGTTTCCTCCCACTTTCTTCCTTTGCAGGTTTGAGCAAAGGAGTCTCAGGACAGGGAAGTCAGCCTAGGACTTCCTGAAGGCATGAGGACTCAAGCTGGGCCTTGAGGCTGCCTGGAAGTCTGCTGGGTGGAAGGGAGACAAAGGCATTTCCGGTGAGGGGACCAGTTGAGCAAAGGCAGGGAAACAAGTCCCTAGCGAGCCTGGGAGCTCTAGCAAGTGGAGCTTTGCAGAACCATGCAGGACTGAGGCGGCGAGTTGTATGTCAGAAAGTTAGGGGAGAGAGAGTCTTGTAATCTAGGCCTGAGATGGTGACAATATGAGTAGGTACTCAGGCCATGGCTCACAAAGGACAGGTCTAAGGAAAATTCATCACACCTTGATGTGTGAGGGCGTGGGGTGAGACATTACAAAACTCTCTGCTGCCTGATTAGCATGCCATTTGCTTATTTGTAAAATTAAATTGAATGGACTGTCAGCTACCATAGGCACTATGTTGCTCCTCTTTCTAGTCTTCTTTTCAAGTGTTAATAGTGGTAAATGTGGAGTGAAGTAGTTTGAGGACCTTGAGATGCCATTATTGAGTTTATGAGGCTCATAGCATGTTGTCAAAAAGTCAGGTGGGAAATGCCAGTGCCTATCCAGCACCTTCATGAAGTCAGGATACAGTATTGCCATGCTTCCTGGCTGTAAAGATGAGAATGAATCTGTTAAGACTGAAAATGTTCTGTTTCACACATCAAAAGAGGTAGTGCTACTATACATTGAACCATTTACCCCATAGGCCATAAATTTCAAGGAATGCCAGGAAGTTTGGAGCATCTACAGTCTGGTTGTAGAGTTGTGAAAGATTCCTTTTGTAGATTTTGTATGGGATTAAAATTAGGCATATGTTAACAACCAGGAGGGGGTAATTGGGTTAAACAAGACTTTGATACATGGCTTTTTCCCCAAGTGATGGTTATTTGTTGAATTACATTTGAAGCCGTCCTCTGACCTTTTAAAGATTTCCATTTTAGTTGTCTTCATTTTTTTAAGGTGTAAAAATTTGTTAGCACTAGATAATTTTTAATGAACAATGTTAACATAGAAGTAAGAATGTTTGAAAATGGAAACATCCAATCTTCAATGTTGTTGTTTTTTAATGTAAAATATAATATGACACAAAATTAGCAATTTTAGCCACTTTTCACTTTCATGTATGATGTACAGTATAGCGGGCTGTTACAGCCACTGTGTTGTACAGTCATCACAACACTCTATTCCCCAAAGTTTCACATCACCCAAATGTAAACTCAGTATCCCTGTATTCCTTAAGCAATAGCTTCCCATTCTGCCTCTGCCCTGCCCAGACCCTGGTAACTACTAGTAATAAGCTTTAGTCTGCATTTGCCTACTCTAAGTAGTGGGATCATGCAAAATGTATCCTTTTGTGTCTGGCTTATTTCAGTCAGCATAATGATCTCCAGGCTCACCTATTTTAGTAGGATATACCAAAATTTCATCTCTCTTTATGGGTGCATAGTATTCTATTGTATCTATATACCACCTTTTGTTTATCCAGTTGTATGGGCCCTTGGCTGGTTCCTGCCTTTTGCCTATTGTGAATAGTGCTGCAATAAACATTGGGGTACAAATAGCTGTTTGAGCTTCAGCTTTCAAGCATTTGGGTATATAGCTAGGAAGAGAATTGCCAGGTCACATGGTAATGTATTCATAAGGTTTTCAGGATTGGGCTGGATTAGGCAATGTTTTATTCTTTTGTACATAATGTCACACTATGAGTTGGACCCAAATTGTCTTGAAGGTACCTAGCAATAAGGTTGAGTTGAATTATGAAATATATATGGGCATATATATAATCTAATTAAAACTGAGATGCATTTGAATATTCTTACAATCCGTGCATCCAGTTAGGGAAAAAGCCCCTTCCTATTGTTTAAAGCACCCACAGTTGTGCTTCATAGGGTTTTATGGTGATCGCAGTTGACCAGCTATAATATAATCTTCTGAGTAGAAAGATTATTATTTTTCATTCATAGTTCTTAGGGTGTTTGAACCTAGTAGGACTGATAGGTTTTCATGCACTAAAGAAATATTAACATTTTATTTAAAAATTAAAGCTGTGAGCTGCTTTAAGTATATTACCACTCAAGAGTAGGAACTTTCCAGTTTAGGTAACTCAGATGGTCATTTCTTAATGATAACTTGCTGTTTTTAAATTTCCTTCAGGTAAAAGTGCAGTTTTAAAGTGTCTCCTGGATATTCACAAAATTTTCCAGGAAAACGACCCAGCTTACATTCTAAATGACCTCTACATCTCAGACTACTGTGTGTGGATTCAGAAAGCCAAGTAAGTTTTAAGTTGCTTCTGACTTTTTAGATGTCACAGTGCGGGAGATGAGCACCTCCCCATGCAGGAGGAAGGAAATGAAGGGATCTGGGGAACCCATAGAGCTCGCTGCCAGATAGGAAGAAGCAACTAAATCGACAAGGGAAGGGTGGTATATTTGCTTTAAGAAGGGGGTGTAGCACATCGAGAAAATTTTAGTTTAATTGAAAAAATTGATATAGCTCAGCAAATTAGCCTTTAAAAATATTTTATTGGGGGCTCTTACAGTTCTTATCACAATCCATGCATACATCCATTGTGTCAAGCACATTTGTACAAATGTTTCCATCATAATTTTCAAAACATTTTCTTTCTACTTGAGCCCAGTAGACAAATTGTCTAATAACAAAGTCGTTAGTATTCTTTGCTGTTGCTCAAGACTGAGAGTGCAAACTCATGCTTATCATTTATCTGTGTGTGTGTGTGTGTGTGTGTGAATACGACAGGACGCAAACCTAATCACCATGAGAGCTGTGCATTTGTTGGCTGACCACTGGCCTAGAGTCCATTGTTCAAAGAACAAGAACCCGAATCATCCGAGCACAATTGTGTGATTCTTGGTACATCTGTCTCCAGTAGTCTGATGCTCCTACAGATGGGCCCCTTGCATTTGGTATGCAAAAATTTAAAGAGCATTTGCCTTTGTCTCACTCAAGGAAACAGATTAACCAGTAAGTTTAAAATGTAGGGGATTTTATTTTACAAAGGAGTTCTGTTGATTTGCATCTTACTCAGCATGGCCAAATTATCCTTCTCAGTAGCAAGAGACTTTTAATTGCAAACATATAAACAGATCTCTGTAGTAGAAGGATTCTTAGATGCTGAAGTGGAAAATGATGAGATAGTATCAATGGTTATTTAGAAGAAACAAAATCACGATACTTTCTTACTGTTAACATAGTTGGTAAATTGGTGCTTTCGGTATGGTTTTTAATGCCAACTTTGAGTGAACCACATTACAGGATTTATATTAGATTTCTGTTCCTGGAGAGGCAATTATATCGCAGAGCAAACTGAGGAAAAACTTAAGGCGATGCCTATTGTGTGGCATGTTATTAGAGACTGTAAAGATAATGCTTAAGCACATGTAGCACGTGGTGTCAGCATTTGTGTTGGAAATCTAGACTCAGCCAGATGGAAAACTGCATCCTTATTCCCTGAGGTCAGAATGGTGTGTCCTCCAATACTGGGGTCACGTGGTAGGGATTGAGTCCAGTCTGAACCCCCCACAGCAGGGTGAACCAAGAAGGGAATATAACAGATTAGCAACAGGAGCAAAGCAAAGCCACAAAGCCCCTTAGGAGCCCCCATAGTAGACTTCAGGCTAGGAAGGGCAGTTCCTGGAATCTTCCAGGACCAGTGGGGAGATAGTCCATAAAGGTCAGCAGACAGACCTGGAATTATCTATGCTCTTTCATTTTTTTCCAGCTAGTTATTATTTTTATATGTATAATTTTTCTTTTTTCTCTTTTTGTTTCATTTTTTGTTTTCTTTTTGTATTGTCTACATTATTGTTGGTTTGCCTACATAGGTAAGATAGGTGTACGAAACAAGCCCCAAGAGAAAGGAATGGGCCCAAGGTTCTGGAGGGACTTAGGGGGAGGAGGAGGGAGGGGGAAGGGAGTGGTGAGCAAACAATGCCATAGACAGGGGAACAACTAGGGAATTAAAATCAACAACAGCAATCTAGCTGAGAGGAAGTACTAAGAGGCAAAAGAAGGGTGAGCATGAGGGTGGGAAAGGAGGAAGGTAAAAGGAAACAGGAAAGATCTAGGAAGCAAGACTATGGATAGAGGTATGAACATAGGTGTGCACTTATATAAATATATTAATTCATAAAAATAGAGGTATTTGCATAGGTACATATACTTATATGGCAATACACTGAGGTAGTGGATGGACTTTGGGCCTCTGCTCCAGCCCTCCCTCAATGCAAGAACACTTTGTTCTAACAAACCTGGCATGCTGTGATGCTCACCCTCGCGGCACGATCATTGAAGACAAAAGGGGTGTACAAGCAAATGGGGTGAAGAAAACTGATGGTGCCTGGTGATCAAAAGATCACCTGAGGTCTTAAAGGCTTGAAGTTAAACACGTGGCCATCTAGCAGAGAAGCAACAAGCCCACAGAGAAGAAGCACACCAGCCTTTGTGATCATGAGGTGTCAGTGGTATCAGATAACAGGCATCAGAAGACCCCAAACAAACAAAACATATTATTATTATTTTTTTTAAGTTACATAGATTTATTTTTTTCAATGATGCTTTCCTTCTTTGCATTTTTCAGTGTAGTGACATTGCTTTAATGCTGGCCTCAGTTTAAGGACCAGTCTTGACTAGCAGCAGAACCGTGCCATCCGCTTCATGATGCCAGAAGAGGTCCGTCTGAGGGTCTGTGTGTCTCAGAGAGAGGGTCACTTTGTTCACACATCAACCTGAAGGGTTCTGAAAATTGGTTTCTTTCCTGGGTCATGTCCAACTACATAACATAGAACCTCAGCTTTCCTCTATTTGCATCCTGTTCACTTCAGAGTGACCACTTTTGACAAAACAAAACAAAACAAAATTGCCCCCACCTATTTGAATTTGAAGCACTTTGCACAGACGAGTTACATTCTGCGTGTTTACAGGACTTCTGGCAGGATTCGCGAGTGTGCTGCATCCGATGAGGAGTTCACGCCTTCTTCCGGAAGCATTTCTTCTTTGGGCCTGATGTTCTTTCCAGAAAAAACACACCTGTTTGGGGGAACTTGGGAGATACCAGAAGATCAAAGAGTATAAGTTGCTAAGGAGCTCATTTGATGCTTTTCTTTGCTGATAGACATCCCTGTTTGAGATGTCCCACAAATGGTGCCCTCATCACATGCAAGACTGCTGGGGTCGCTGTACAAGTTCAGATGTTGTCCTTGGCTGCCTTCCAGTCAAGTCCACCTCATAGAGACCCTGCGTTCAACAGAGCTCACAGGGCTCAGCGTCTCCAAGTCCGCCGTCCTGCTCACGTGCTGCTTATGTCTGAGCCCGCTATTGCAGCCGCTGGGTCGGTCCTTCTTGTTGAAGGGCTTCCTCTTCCCTGTTGTCCTTGTCGTTCATCAAGTGCGGTGTTCTTCTCCTGGGACTGTTTCCTCCCGACGACATGTCCAAAGTACGTCAGCAAAGTCGTGCCATCCTTGCTTCTAAGGAGCATTTTGGCTATCCCTCTTCCGAGACAGCTTTGTGTGTTCTGTTGGCAGTCCCTAGTAATTTCAGTGTTTATCACCAGTACTGTAATCAAATGCATTAATTCTTCTTTGGTGTTCCTTGTTCATGTCCAAGGGGAAATATTTTTTGACAGAGAGGGAAGGCCTGACAATGACCACATGAATTTGGGCTCCCAGACCCTTCTGCGTGAATGAAATCTGATTTTTGAATCCTCTGCTGCTCATAAGTTTTCAGTGACTGTGACCCCTCAGAAGTGGACAGCTTTTTGGAAGTTTGTTCTTAGACTGGAAGCTCTGCTGCAACCTGTTCACCCTGCGTGTACTTGAAATACCAATGACAGAGCTTCCAGCATCACAGCAACACATGAGCCACCCCAGTGTGACACAATTTCAGATGAGTGTGGTCTGAAGCTCTAGACAGGTGCTAAATTCTCACTTGGAAAGAATGAACTCTAGTTTGTTGTCACTCTCCAACCTGACCATATGACCCCAGCAAGTGTTGACTCCTGCTTCCATGAACATTGATGGTGGACCAAACTGAAGTGAAATCCTGACACTTTCCATCTTTTCTCCATTGATTAGTGATGAGGACTTTCATTTTACTTCATCTTAATCCATACTGAAGACTTTGTGTGGTGAACTAGGTGGAGCCCCAGGGCTCTCTGTATTCGAAGGGCGAATGACTTTCTCAGAGAAGAATGCCTGTGGGCCCTGCACACACCTCAAGAGAATGCTGCTGTAATTCCACAGCACTATTTGAGGCATGGACTGCCTAAAGAACAAACAGTACACCCGGAATGGGTGTACTGCTCCTTAAAGGCGAGGAGTGTGAGACTTTGTCTCATGTACTTTGGACATGTCATGGGAGATCGGTCCCTGGAAAAGGATATCATGCTTGGGAAAGGAGAGGGGCAGCAGAGAAGAGGAAGACTTTCAACACGAGGGACCGACACAGTGGCTACAAAGAAGGGCTTGAACGGAACAACAGTTGTGGGGAAGGCCCCGGGCCAGGCAGTGTTTCGTCCTGAGGGACTGCAGGGTCACTACAAGGTGGGGCCGACTGGACAGCAGTTTGAGCACAGCTGTGGGGGAGCCCCTGGCACCTGCCATGGCCTGTGTCACCAGTCTTAACAAATCTGAGTGTCAAAGGTGATTTCAGGTATTGGTTAAATTCACCATGCAAATCAGTGATTTTCAGGCCCTTTGTATGGTTTTATGCTTCCTTTTTTTTTTTAGCTTTTGTAGGGCATTACTACTCTAAAAAATGGTGGAATGCTAAGTCTTACATTAGCGGCTAATGACTATCATATAGAAATTTCAAGAAACCATTGTGCATAATTTCAAGTATATTAAACCTCTCTTGAATTGAAATTCATGGTAAGGTGCTTATTCCAGCATGTCAAGTTGCTCTTTAGTTTTACTGTTTATTTTTAATTAAATCCACAAATTCATCCTGGATGGAGGTGAGTTTTATCTCCGTAAGAAAAGATTAGTACATGCCAGTATCCATTCACTTGCTTCCATTCAGTGTGGTTTCATATAGAAAGGATTTACTTAATGGTTCTTTTCCTTATCACCAGTAGTTCAGCAGTGCCCACTGGGGACTGAAGCTCTTCATTAGACTTCGCTTACAAGAAATGTGCCAATAAATCATAGGATTACGGATGTTCCTACTCACTGAAGACTGAAATAACCCTTTGTGAAGATCTGAATGCTTTCTAGAACTATAACTTTGCTTTTGCTTACTGAGAAAACTGGCAAAGAT